CCACGGGCGCTGCCAATGTGGGCCAAGGGCATGGCTTCTATGGTGGGGTCCAGAGGCATCAGACCCCGCCATCAAGCAGGTAGCACTCAGGCCTTGGTGGCTGCCTATCTCACTGAGGACATTGAGCCACTGCTGTGCGACCCCTTGGCCTACTGGACAAGCCACAGCCAGATGTGGCTGGATCTGGCCACAGTTGCCTGGGAACACCCGTCCTGTCCATCGACCAGTGTTTCAAGCAAGAGGGTATTCAGCATTGCTGGGGATGTTGTGACACCCTGCTGTACCTCTTTGGATCCTGGTTTGATGGAGCAGCTGGTGTGCCTCAAGATGAACCTCCCGCTGCTGGGGTTCCCCAAGCTCGACATGCAGATGAAGGGAGTGCCACCCTCCTCACTTTGTCTACACCTATTTCCATTTCCTTTTTTCATTTTTTAAAAACCATTTAATGCCCCACTCTCAGAGCTGGAGGTGGCACTCACTGCATCACCAACCAGGAGGGGAAGAACATGTCCCTGCTGAGCTCCCATGCCAGGACAGACTTGGAGGTATGGACTGGGGCTATGGGGAATGAGGAGGCCCCAGGTCCTGTGCATGACCTAAAACTGCACCTTGCCAGGGTTGAGAGGCCTAGTGGGAATGCCGTTGGTGTGGCAGCTCCCAGGAAATGCCAGGACTGAGAACCTCCCTGGTGAAAGGCAGGTAGGGGGAGCCTCAAAACCTCCAGCCACCACACGCACGCACAGTGCTGGCTGGGGAAAGCCCAGACCCCTAAGATCTCTGAGAGGCTTGGTGGTTGCAGTGGAGTTGTGAGGCTCCAGGTGAGCTCAGCTGAGCTGTCTGGGACGCCAGCTGTGAGGCATGGGACACAGTGTAGGGAAGGTACGGAGCTGTGGAATCACACACCAGGCAGACAAGTTTCTTTGGGTCAATCTGATATCTTTTAGTAGACCAACTGAATAGTTGGAGAACTACATCATAGTAAGCCTTCAGGTTGAAAAACCCTTCATCAGGCTGAGGAAGCACCTGCTGTTGGTGTGTGCTCTCTTCCAGAATGGAAGAAATAGTAAGGAAGCTATAGTCTGGCATGCAATTCAGGCAAGAAACCCTTTCTTTATATTTCAGCAGCATGTGATCCATCCCTGCTGTGTGCCTACAACCACACAGTGAGCTGTGCAGTCTTGTACATTCATGGCCCAAGCCAAGCATGTGTGTCTCGATATATGCATAAATCTTGTCTGTGCCTGTCATGGGCCTTGATGCTTATGGCATGGGCAACCACTCAGTTCCATAGTGCTGTAACGGCCCTGACGCCTTTTCTTGAGGCATCTGTGCAGAGCTTCACATCTTTTAGTAGGTCAGAGAACTGTGGGCCTGTGGCCAACACCACCAAGTATTTTAAGGCATTACACTCTCATTTGCGCTCTGGCTTCCACGCCCACCCTGCTCCCTCATGGTAGATGTGTCCGGTGCTCTGTGCAAATGGAAGAGTTAGGTATGAACCTGCTGTCCTGGTCCCGCATGCCTGGTGCTGTTTGAATGACCTTTTTATCCTGAGGTGTTGCATTTCCAGTCCAGCTCAGGGGATTAGACACAGATTGTATTTGGGATGATGTAACATTAATCCTTGCTTTAATGCTGGAAGTGATGCTGGGAGGAGGGTAAGAGCTTGGGGAGCTATTGTAAGGCAATAGAAACATTGTTCATGGGTGAATGGGCCCTATTCCTTTATTAATGGAGGCAAAGGGGCTGTACTGTCTTCAGAGCAGCACTGTTTATGATGATGCAGCAGAAAAGCCTCAAACACTTTCATCCTATGCATAGTACCTTGTGCTGTTGCAAGGCCTCATGAGAGTTTTCTTTGGTCCTAACCTCGAGGCACCAGGCCCTTTCAGGTAGTATTTTGAGGCTCAGTGTGACATGAACTCCCCGCATCTCCAAGTGAAGCTGGGTCAAGTCCCTCAGGCTCACTCTGGTTTTGTCTGGGACCCCGGGTCCCTCACGACTCCCCTTGGAAACCAGTAACAGGCCCAGCTTTTCCAAGAGGCTCCACAGATTTCCACCAGACTTGAGTTTCTGAGGCGGTGCCGGGACAGGGGTGATTCGCTCTGGCTGCTTTCTCTGCTCCATTTCAGCCTGGTGTAGCACAGCTTTCCTTGCTGCTCCCTACTCCCCCACCAGGCCTGTGGAGAGAACAGGTCTGTCCCGTCAAAAAAGCAGCCCTGATGATAGAGAAGGTGGTAAAATACATTAGTATTTTATATCACAATTCATGGAAGAGGTGGTCTCTTTCATTAGATCGGCTAGATATTTGCAAACGTTATTTATTTGGAAGCTTTCAGGCACACTCACGCTTCCTCAGGCATATGAGAAAGCCAAGTTTGTAACATTTCTTCTAAGTGGAAATGAAAATTCATATTTCACAGGAGAGCTGAAGGTGTTAGGTCTTTTGGTTGGAATAGTCCATTTTGTGCAAATTAGGCTCAGATAAAAGTTAGAACAGTCTATTTACCTCCATGTTGTCTGGTGTCAAGCAGGATGTTGAATGATGTTGTCTTCTGGTTATGATATTTGCTATTTCACAGAAGGACGATGTGATGGATGCTCTCCTGGGCAGCAAATTCTCTTGTGTTGAGCCACTTTGAGCTCTGTGACCATGCAGATTGAGCTGGAACAATGGGCAGGAGCCAGGGTTTCTGCTTTCAGGTTGGTCCAAGGTGGTGAATTTGCTTCCTTGGAAAATTATCAAGTTTCCTTTTATATGTAGTCACTTCATGGGGCAGGGGTGATGGTGCACAAGTCATTGCACAGAGGGTCCAGGAGTACTGCACAAGGCAGCGTGGGTCTCTAACTCTGCATGAGACAGGGCACAGGGGCATAGCGCTGAATGGGCCACAGCAGCTGCACACCGCAGCGCAGGTCTCCAACCCTGCACAAGGCAGGACACAGGGCCGTTGCTGCACAGGGCGGTGCACAGGGCCATAGAGCTGCCTGAGAGGCTGGGAGAGCTGCATGAAGCAGCTGGGGCCTCCTTACAGAAGGAGGAGATGCCACTTCCCCTTGGAGATGAGAGAAGCCCCATCAGGCCACATGGAGTCGTGAGTGCCCCCCGGGCAAGGGGCTCCCACAGGGAAGAGGGGCCCACCCCGCTGTGGGCAATGGAGTCGAAGCCCCTGACGGAAAGGGGGTAATTTGCCTTGGGGCAAAGATAGGAGATCAGGGCTCTGGTTTGCCAAGGGCAAATCCCTGGTTTAGGGCCCTGCCAGCTGACTAGCCTAAGCGGGGTCAAGGGTGCTCTATAGGGTGATGGGGTTCCCCGCCAGGCTATCATTTCTTCATTGGGCATCACTGTTGTGCCAGTGTTGTATTCTGTTTTTCTCTTCCTCTATGCTTTTGGAATCATTGTTATAAACCCTGAGCCTTATCATTGTACTTGAATAGAAGAGCAAACTGCCTTGTATTGGTATGATGTATATAGAGTATTTTATGTAAATGTGCTGTGTTTGACATAATCCCCTTTGGTGAATATTTAGTCACCAACTCATCACTGACAGACATGTTGTTGTTAGTTAGCATGTGTTTGAGTAAATCTATAACTGTAAATATAGATGTATATGTGTATAAAAATTGATTAGAAGTTGTAAACTATTATATAATATTAAAACTGTTCATAATCAAGACTATGAGTGTCCTGGCTCTCTGCTCTGTAGGCAAAGTAGGGGAGCTGAGCACAGCTAGGCAGCCACACCTCCCACAGTGTACCAGCACCTGCTAACATCCCTTCATTTGGAAAGGGGATACCTATCTGAGTACCACCCGGGTTACATTAATAACAGTGAATTTTCCCTCATTTTTACACCAGAAGAGACTGGAAGTAATTGTGCCAGCGTGTGTCCCTGTGTTAGTTTTCTTAGCATTTGCCAGGGAGAAAATCTGCATGAAGGGGGCCTTCTCAGTCCTGGCACGTTAAAGAGATGCAGGGGGCTGCAGCCAGAAACCATTTTCCTAGTGACGTTGAGCTGGTCTGGATACCCCCCATGGCCTGTGCACCACTCCTCCTTGTGCTGGTCATGAGTTGCTCTGGTGCTACAGCTTTTTATTTGGCTTCCTACAGATTGTGGTAACGGATTAATGTCATCATGACTGAGTCCTTGTATCAACAAGTCCTCTACTTCCCCTCCAGGTTCCCTTGCCCAGTACGTGAACGTGATGACATAGCCACTTTCAGTGTCCATCTCTCCAAGACAAACTGCTAAACTCCCCTGCACAGGAAGAAATGTCGGTAACAGGAATGCGCAGTGGTTGCAACAGAAACCTGGCAGTGCCCCTGTGCTCATTATATACGGCACTAGCAACAGACTCTCCAGCATCCCTGACCGAATCTCTGGCTCCAAATCTGGGAACACGGCCACATTGACCATCACTGGAGTCCAAGCCCAGGATGAGGCCGACTATTACTGCCAGGCATGGGATAGTGACAGCAGTGCTCATCATAGTGACACAGGCAATGGGGAAGTGAGACACAAACCTGCGCTATCAATGGGAACAGCTCTCCATTTTGAATTGCTCATGCCCAAGTTGCCGCCTTGTATCCTTTCCATTGCTCTGGGATCCACAGCCTGTGTACCTCTCGTGAGCACCCCCATTCACACTGAAAGCTGAGCATTACATTGAGAATAAGCAGTGGGGCAATGCTTTGATGTGGAAGTGAGATATGACCCTGCTGCTATCAAACAGAGCCACTCTGCTTTTTGGTGGGCTCATTCCCAAGTGGCTCTTATGTCCGCTGTTCATTGATTTTCTTTTCATTGCTATGGGAAACTCAACCCGTGAGTCCCTGAAAAGTGATTATATATTGAGATTGAGGCAGGAGGAAATGTATTGACTTTTTCCTTTTTGTTCTTCACCTGCAATATTTCTTACAACATTTCTTCTCTAACTGTTTCTGCCCCTAGGTCCTTCTGTGTGCTGAGAGTTAGGTTATACAATGCTTTCAGCACATTCACAAGCACATTTCCAGCTGGTTTCAGATCACCAGGTTGTGCACTGTTAGATAGAGGCTAAGCGCTGGAGTGCAGCTTCCAGCACCTTTTCCTGTATTCCAGGATGAGTGTAACCTGGGTGGTACTTGTGTGGGTACCCCCTCTTCAAATGAAGGGATGGTAGTGAGTGCCAGTGCACTGTGGGAGGCAAAGCTTCCTGGCTGTGCGCAGCTCCCCTTCTCTCCCTATACAGTAAAGCAGGGACACGTAAGGAACCTTAACTATGTACAGTTTAATAAGATAAAAGATACAATATTAACTTATATACACATATACATAAGATATATAAACTATGTACAATATATATTCAAACCCCTACTACTAGTCCCTGAATCCACACTCAGGGGCTGGGTCCTCTGTGGGCCCCATCTCCCCACTCAGTGCCCTCCAGGCCGGAGGAGAGGGGCCCTCAAGGATAACACAGGGATTCATTTAGGAAATAGTAAGGGCTAGCAGTGGCAAATTAGTGATTAAATATTCATAACGGGTTCCATCAAACATTGTACCTTCTTATACAAATAAAAAAGCACAGGGTATACTACTAATAATACTAATAATAAGGTGTAGGATCTCAGAGAAAGGCAAGGAAATGCCCTGCAGTAGCACAACAGCTGTGCCTCAGGAAGAAACAATCCCCAGGGTTGGGGCGGGGGGAGAGAGAGAAAAGGAGAGGAAAGGAATGCCCCAATATCCCAACAGGCACCCTTTAACCCTGCTTAAATTACTCAGTCAGCCGGGCCTCAACCCAGAAACCCCCTTTCCCTTCCAGGGCTTCCCCCCAGCTGCTCACCACCGAGGGACTCGATGATGTTGCACTCATCTGCGAGGGCAAGGCATCTCCTCCCTCTGCATGGAGGCCCCTGCTGCTTTGGGGGTTCCTCCGGGTTTCAGCCTGCTCTCAGCCCTGTGCACTGTCCCATGCACTGGTGGCCACTCTTGGCCCTGTGCACTGTCCTTTGCACCGTACTCCTGCCTCTTGCAGGAAGGCTGGGGACCTGCGCTGCCTTGTGCAGTGCCCGAGGTCCCAGTCCACCCCCGGACCCTCTGTGCACTGGCCTGTGCACCATCATCTCTGCCTTGTGCAGTGGGTAGGGGACCTGTGCTGCCCTGTGCAGCACCTGAGGTACCGGTCTGCTCCTGGACCCTCTGTGCACTGGTTTGTGCACCAACACTGCGCTCCCTCATGGTGGGGCAGGGGACGCAGCTGTTGGCCAGTCCCCATCCAACGAGGTATCTTCTGGGTGCTTCTGGGACAACCGCTCTGCCCCGCTGGTCAGCTCAGCCAGCTCTTCACAGCCCTCTTCATCATCCCTCATTGCAGCCACCTGTGTGCCGGGCATGCTGCCTTTTGATCCTCTCCAGAGGCTCCGCCCCAGCTTGTGTTGCCCTGTGGGGTCAGGCCAACTCTTAGGATCTCAATATTGCGCTGTTAGACAGGAGGGTGTGACACAATTGCCCATATACAAACACACAAATCAGTTAGGTGCATACACACACACACACACGCACACTACCAACTCAGGCACATACACATCCAAACGAGCCTAGGCACATGCATACCTATCACCAATTCAAGCACATACACTATACACCCCAATGTTAGACAAAAATCAATTGTCCATACCCACACACTCAGTACACATACACAGATCACTAATTCGTATATCATGTACACAGTGACATATACATGCACACACACTCACCAGTTCACACGCATATAACCCACCTACACATACACACAGGTAAGTTCCTAACTTGGATGGTACAGGGTGTATATGTGTGCTTGGGGTACCTGGGATACTTGGGGGAAGGTTAAGGTGAGAGAGAGAGAGTTAAAGTATAGGGAGTGAAAGTTGCCAGAACCAGGATTAGAGAGAAGTTGGCTGAGGAACTGAGGCTTGGGTTTACATCAGATGAAGTGGCCCCAGGGTTACTTGAGGTCACTGGTGCAAGGGAAAGAAAGAAAAAAAAAAGCCTGGTGGCAAGGAGGAGACAGCCAGAAACAGAGAGAGACAGAAACCTGGGAGTTTGGGGTTGAAAACTGAAGCAGACAGCTGAGATATTGGGGGGTGGGCAGATAAGTGCTGGCAAGGAGGAGACAGCCAGGAAAGAAACTGAGGCAGAAACTTGGTTGCTCAGGAGAAAATGAAAAGGCAGTGGGGATAAGACAGTGGCAAAGAAACAGGGGGTTGGAGGCAGAGAGGAGGTCAGGACAGGTGTCGGGGGTGGCAGTGAGTCAGAAGCAGGAGAGGGAGAAATGAGACAGAAGTTAGAGGGGCGAGGAGCAGACATTGGAGCAGGGTCAAACCACAGTAAAGCAGAACCCAACTTAGGGGTCCAAATAACAGTTTTATTAAACAGACAACACACTACACAGCCCCATGAAGTTATTGGTTCTCACACACACTCGCACACAGACATGCACGCATTCACAATGGAAGCAGGTTTATTAAACAGACAACACACTACACAGCCCCACGAAGTTATTGGTACACACGCACACACACACACAGATGCACGCACGCATGCAGCAGGAGAAAGAGACTCAGTGGAAGGGTTGCAGTCCAGGTAGGGAAGAGAAGCAGAGTCCAAGTCCTTGGTACAAGAAGGGGTGGGGGTGATAGCTACCTATCCAGGCAGGAAAGGGGTCTTTGTCTAGTAGGTGTTGTCTAGAGGGGGGTCGCCAGCAGGGCCTCTGGGTGGATAGGTAGTGTGGCATGGTGCTGGTCCAGATGAAGAGGGCGTCCCAAGGAGTCAGTCTTCACTACCCCTTTTATGGGGCAGACCACCTTTGATCCCCGCAAGGGGAGGGCCTGTCCAGGCAGTGTCAGTCCTGTTCCAGAGGGCTCCAGGTGTTCTTACTGAGCATGTGCAGCCTGGCACAATGGTGGGTTGCCTCATCGTTTGTTTCTTGAATGCAGAGGGTGGTTCCAAGGGCTGGGTCATTGGTCCAGGTATTGGGGTTGATGGTTTCAGCATTCAGAAGGAGCTATTTTTAGACCTACTGCCATTGTCTCTCAAGCACCCTCATTCATCCCCTTTCATTTAGGAACCAAGTGATATAGAAGGGGTAGGTATGGGTCATGTGTTACACAGCTGGGCCTGGGGACAGGATGGAGACTTGACAAACAAAATGGAAACTTGACATGACTTATGCTAACTTACATATGTAGGCCTAAATCATATAGTACCAGTAATACAGTAATATAGACCAGTAAAAATCAATATAAACATAATAATTATACAATATAAAGGAGAAAAAACAAAACAAATACAACTTGCTACCAAAATAAAATGCTGAATCTTATCCTATGTCTTAGCTCACTTATACTTATCTATAAGGAATAGAGAGGGAGAGACAAAGTCAGAAATGGCTGGGGAAGGGGAGGGGGAATGCATTAAAAAAAAAAAGAAAAAGAAAAACCGGGGGTTTTGCTACACTTGAAAATGGACTAATTAGAGAGAGGCAGGGTTAGCCTCTCTGGTCTGTCTTTTCATGTCAACCCTGGGTAGGGGCAGGGCAAGACTCTCCCCTTGTCTTTACTGGTTGGTGGGAAATGCCCCACCAATCACCCTGAGACCTTTCTAGCCAGCAAGCCGGGTTGCTGTCGGCAAGTCCGCCACATGTGGTTTATGGTCCAAACCTTTTGTCACTCTACAACTGTCATTCTCAACCATTTTAGACACAAAACATCTCTCAGAGAATGCCAGCCTCTCTCTTCTTCAGTGGGAGCACCCATTGCTTTAAGGAAAGCACATGAAATGAGACTGTAGTCTGCCAAAACACATTCTGGAAAGCTCTGCAACACAAGTGCTGTCCCCACCATCCCCAGAACATCTGCCTACACAAAATGGCTCCTATTGAGCATTTAGGATATGGGGAGGGAAGGAGGAAGGGCAACATTTGATGATAGTATGAACTCACCTTCAGTGTTTTCAAGCTTGGGAAGGAAGAACCGTGGCTTCCCTACTGTCTGGTTCTGCATTAGTGCCACCACTCATGGCCTGCTCAGACATCCACTATCACCACAACACCCATGGGAAGTAGCATGAAGACCTCTTCACACCATGGATGAGCCAGCACAATGACATTCCCTTATATCCAGCCAACCGACCTGGAAATATGAAAACTATCCACCTGGGACAAGGACCCTCAGAAATAGAGAGAGCAGATGG